TTATTAACACCCTTCTGCCATTCACTTAAATTAATCTCATTCTTCAAGATCGGTAACATTTGGAACAGGAAAAGAAACTTGGGTAGAATATTCATTTTTATCACTGCAATTCTTCCCATGAGAGATAGTTGCAGCTTCTCCCAATTCTTCAAGTCTTTCTGTACACTAACCCAAAAAATAATTTTGCATTAGAGACAGATAGCATCACCCCCAAATATTTTACCTTATTAACAATTTCAAAACCCGTCAAGTTAACCAAAGTCTGCTTCTCCTGAATAGTCATATTTTTAGGTAAGATTTTAGTCTTGTTAACATTAATCCTAAAACCCGAAACCAAACCATATTGATGAGTTAACTGCAATAACTTTACTACAGAACTAATAGGTTGCGACAAAGTAACCACCAAGTCGTCTGCAAAGGGTCTTAACTTGTATTCTTTTTTATTAACTTCTACTCCTTTAATTTCCTGCGAATCTCGAATTTTGATCAACAATATTTCCAATGTTAAAACAAACAACAACGGTGATAGTGGACATCCCTGCCTAGTACCTTTTTCTATTGTAAATACCTCTGACAAACCCCCATTAACAATAAGTTGTGCCGTTTGTTTTTGATAAATTACCGTGAGAGCTTGTAATATCTTTTCACCAAAATTCATCTTTTCAATTACTCTTAACATAAAATGCCAATTCAGTTGATCAAAGGCTTTTTCAGCATCTAAGAAAATCAACCCTGCAGGGACTTGGTTGTTCTTGTCTAAATATTCTAATAAGTTAATAATTTGTCTAACATTATTTTTCATATATTTACCAGTTATAAACCCAGATTGATCTTTATGCACAAGATGATGCACAACCCTCATGAACCTGTTTACTAAAATTTTTACAAATATCTTGTAATCCACATTTAAAAGAGATATGGGTCTATAATTCTTTGGTAAAGTGAGATCTTGCTCCTCTTTTGGAATCAAAGAAATAAAAGCACTACGCCATGAAGGAGGAATCTCTGAGCCCTGTAGAATATCATTAAAAAGATCACCTAATGGTTGGATCATCTCCTCCATTAAGACTTTGTAATAAACAGCTGTCAAACCATCTGTACCCGGTGCTTTCCCTAGTTTCAGTTGCTTAATTGCTATCACAATTTCCTCTTTAGTAATTAAACCATTAATTTCCTGTTTTTGATCCTCTGTCAATTGGGGAAAACTAACCTCACTTAAATATTTATTTATATCTAATATTTGCACATTAGTAGATTTATATAATTTTTGATAATAATCTAAAAAAGATTTCTTAATCAGTTCCTTCTGGAAGACTATTTTACCCTTATAATTTATTTTATCTATTATTCTCTGTCTCTGCTTCTTTCTTAATTGATAGGCCAACCATCTCCCTGGTTTATTGGCGTTACAAAATGTGTTTTGTTTCATAAACAATAAGTTAGTTGCAGCTTGATCCGCCAGGAGCATGTTAAATTGTGCTCTTAACAACTTTACCGATTCTTTAATATTTTCATCAGCGGGATTTAAAATCAAAGACTTTTCTTTTAACTTAATTTCATCCTCTAGTTCTTTACGTTTTTGAGTCTGGCTTCGCTTATAAAAATTATTCATTTTTATCAAGATCCCACGCATAAATGCTTTACCTGCATCCCATACCATTGACATTGAAGTCCCCTTGTGCATATTTAAAACAAAATAATCCTTTAAAGACTCCTTCAACTTTTGAATATTCTTTTCTTGTCTAAATAAGTTTTCATTCACCCTCCAGGATCTTCTCTCCTCTTTTTCCTGATTCAGCTCCATCCAAACTGGACTATGGTCCGTCAACGACCTAGGAAAGATCTTTACATTCTTTACTCTATTATATAAGTCCGTTGTAATAAAAAAAAAGTCAATTCTTGAGAAAGATTGGTGTCTATCTGAAAAAAAAGTAAAGTCTCTCTCCTCTTGATTACATTCTCGCCAATAGTCCCTTAGTTCCCAGTCCTCCTTCATGTCAAAAAAGGCTTTAGGCAATTTTGCCTGTTTAATAAGAGGAGAGAAGCCTTTCTTGTCCCTTTGTATATCCATAACGCCATTCCAATCACCCATTAATACCACGGATCTATAGTCCAGCAAAGTTATTTTTTGATGTAACAGTCTATAAAATTGTTCCTGTTGCTGATTTGGTGCATAAAGTCCCACTATAAGAATTTTCTTACCATACAAACCAAGTTCAATCATCACATATCTTCCTTGGGGATCTGATTCTACCAGAGAAGCTGCTAGATTTTGCTTCACGTATATAACCACTCCCCCCTTTTTCCCAGGAGCAGAGGATACAAAATGAGATCCCAGACGGGCATTGACTATGTATTTCTGATCTTTAAGTAAAATATGAGTTTCCTGTAGGCAAATAACATCATTATTATGTTGCTTCAAATAGTAAAAAAATTTCTTTCTTTTCTGTGGGGAGTTCAATCCGTTAACATTCCAGGTCAGGAACTTTGCCATCTCTCTTGGCCTTGAGCCTGGAGAAGACTCCCTGAAGGTCTGCCATTCCTTTTTCTACACTATGTTTGAAATTATCTCTAGACAAGGAGAGAAGTAACAAAGAAGAGGAAATGAAGGAAGACATGTTTTTTCTCCATGTTTCCTTTTTTGTTTCAAACGTCTTTCACCATTTTAATTATTACATGGCTACAGTGGGGATTATTATATATACCTATTTTCTTTTGCATCTCTTCTTTTCATAATCAGTATTTCAAGAAGCCTGAAGAATGAAAACAAAATGGAAAGTGATATTATGAGGAACACATTCCCTAAGGGTAAAAAAAATGATGGGAGATGAACAAATAAAAGAAAAATAACTGCAAGTATAACTTCTGCTTTTCATACATTTTCCCTTATTTTTCTACAGTATTCAGGATACTAGAAGCCAAGAATATCATCTGTCCCCAAGCTTTAACTGAACTGTCTTCTCTATATGGCATAAATCAACGAGGGGGGGGGGAATGAAAATCACTTTCCAACCTCTGCAAAAAGTGGACTGACCAACCATCATTCAAAGTGTTTGCTGGCTAAATTTTCTAATGAAAGAAATTTTAAAAAATATTGTCACAAGGAGAAGAATTTAGAATATATTTTAAAAGCTTGCCTTGTTTTCTTCCATTCCCCACATTATCTCTTGGCTTAGCTGAAAAACCTGATTTGAAACAATTATTCACTTCAGCTATCATTTCAGGTCCATGTTTCATAACTGAAGGACTGTTCCTTTATTTCCTTTTTTGTGTTCCAAATGTTTCTTCTTGACAGTTCTTTAGTAATACATATATCAGCCTCATGTAAAACATTAAAAATGTTAAACATTTCTGAAGGTTAAAAAAAGTGAAGCATGAAATTGACATACTATTGAAGCAGCAGTTCTCCATCATTTTAACATAGCAAATTTGGTAAGAATTCTTACCAAAAGAATTTGGTAATATTTTTGACCTAAACAAAAATGCTAATTAGCCAATATGCTTAAATGATATACACCTCAGACATACTCTATACTGTAAAATATTACAATCAATCTACTATGTAGCTTTTCTATACAACAAATAAAGACTTTGTTTTAAAAAAAGTAATCAAATGACATGATTATGTATAAAATATTCAAAAATTTCTATTGAAATTGTTATGTAGTGCTATAACATAGTATAGCATTACAGTCAGGACATAACTTCAAGAAATACTTCTAAGTGTTTTTCAAAATCCTAATTAAGCTAATTGATCTAATTAAGTGAATGATAACAACAACAGCAACAGAGATTCTTAGCAGGATGATCTCCTCATTCTCATCTTTCTATTAACTTAGTTTAAATACTTTTGGAGTAGAAAATGTGCTGGTGATTAAATCCAGTTAAATAAGTCGTTGCAGCTAGGTAAGTGAGATAATTTTAATAATCAAAAATGAAATGATATGATTGATTTTGATTTTCAGGTTAATGTGTTATTGACAAAACATTAGGAGACAATATCTTTTTCGAAAATTAGAAGACAAATCATATATGAAATGCAGAATTTCAAGCCATGATAGTATAAATTCACATAAAAGTCTTTTTTGAGTTTGGCTTATAAATATAGAAATTCTGGCAATTTATAATAATGATACAAAGATATTTGGATCTATTCCTAGTACTGAACATTCTGATAAACCTTGCATGGAAATAGTAAAATAGAGCTGAAGGACCACTTTCTCTGTTACATATAAGTGACTGCTAAGAGATTCGATGAATCATCAAGTAAATTAGACTGCAAAATAACAAAATGAAAAAAAGAATTAAAAAATCTTCAAGCTAAATAGATTGTAATCATTTTTAATTTGACATATATTCTATGAGTGTAGTATTAAGTTTCAAAACAATATTATTTGAACAAATATCTGTCACATCTGGAAAAATGTACCTCATGCTAACAAGTTTTAGTTAAATCTAAAATGTAAGTTAACTTATATGTATGTTCTCAACCTGTTCACACTATGCAGGAAATGTGAAAAATGGAAGTTATTTATAAAATTCAATTTTCTTGTTCATATCACAACTAACTTTACAATCAAGCAAAACAGTCCCTTTAAATAAGACCCTCCTGTTCTATCATGCAAAAAAGACTTGTAAAGGTATCAGAAAGCTATATATGTTGTCAATATTCTGAAAGGAATAAAAGGAGGAAATATTAGCTTACAAACTTAAGAAAGCATATCACAAAGCAACTCCCCCCAAAATTACAGCCATCACATACAAGATAAGCAAACCAAAAATAAATGAACAAAAAGTAACAACGTTAGATATCTGAACATGTAACAGCTGCATTCAGAACAAAACACACAGGAGAATATAAATTAAAAGCAGATTCAGATACTATCCAAACTGTCAGATTATTGCTTGGACAGAGGGGATGGTACTAGGAATTTTCAAGGATTGGCAATTTAGGATTTTTTTTGTACAAGTCATCATCATGAAATAGAACTTCCACTCACCAAGGCAGAGATATGTGTAGCATCACCTGTGACTTCAGGGGTTCTTGTGCTGTTTGGGAATCTGTGAGGATTTCGAGCTATCGCTTGGCACCAACCCAACATTTTCTCCTTCCACTTATCCCTTTTCAAATTCTGAAATTCTGAAAATAATTTACAATCCCTGAAACAATGGTTTCTTTAGTTTCTTACAAATATGTGTCTGGGCATGCAATTACATATATTTGAACTGTGCACAAATAAGTAACTGTTTTCAAGAAAGACAGAATTGATATTATCATAAGCAGTTTAATACAGAAACGAGTCTCCCAGTAAATGATACAACAGCTTCCTTCATATTTCTAGAGTTCAAAAATGGAAGCTACTTATTTATAGAAATTAAATTATTTTAAAGGTAGTTGAAATACACCCAGGGGACAAAATTCTCAGGAAAAAAATTGTGCAGGCAACATTGCAATAATGCACTTATATTTAAATATAAGATTTCCGCTGATTGAAAATGTCAGATTAAATTGTGCCACCAGTCTAAGTAAGGAAAACCACTTAGTAAAATCTAACCTACATTTTCTAGAAATAAACTCTGTTATAGTCACATTATCTTATCTGAAAACACAATTTTACATTTCTTTTCAGAAAGAAAAGAACTTACTTCCAGGAAAGTGAATGTGAATCTAAGATTTCTGTCTATTCAAATATACTAACATTTCTGTATGACCTGTCTTTACATTATAACATATTTTTGGAATATTTATATTAGAAATTAAATAACTTCAAATATACATTCTTGTGTACGCTTGGAAACAACCTCATGATCTGTGAGAGATAAGTTGATAGTCAATTCAATTAACAACTGCTCAGTTTCAAGGCAATGAAGCAACATCAACTGCTGTAGATATAAGATAAAAAGAAACTACAGTGTCATGATAACAGGGCAATCAACATTTTGATGTGATTTTATTATAGTTTGCAACAAAAGAAATTATGTAGCCTATTTTTTCATGTGTCTGATAAAGATTTTGCTAAATTCAAGCCTAGCAGTTTAGTTAAGTCATATAAAATTTGGAAGTCAGATTAAGAAGTACTTAGATGATTTCTTAATTCCTAATAAACTATAAGGAGGAGGAGGTGGTACAGCATAATCAGAAGATGTTGTTGTTGTAGCTGATCTCAAAAAAGATATAGTTTCCTGTGGAGTTGATTTTCTGCTCTGTTATACCTGGTGGGGCTCAGTCTATGGTAGACTGCCAAAATGGGACTCTATGTCATAAGAAAAAGCAGCTGTTTCATCAAACTCTATAATCTTTTCCAGTGGTTCAGTGTGGTAACAAATAATATTGCTAGACACAGCTCTAAGAAGAGGGAGTCAAGCTGTTTTCCAAAGCACCTGAAGGCAGGACAAGAAGCAACAGATGGAAACCAATCAAGGAGAGAAGCAACTAGAACTAAGGAGAAACTTTCTGACAGTTAGAACAATGAACCAGTGGAATAACCTGCCTCCAGAAGCGGTAAATGCTCCAACACTGGAAGTTTTTAAGAAGAGACTGGACAACCATTTGTCCGATATGGTACAGGGTTTCCTGCCTGAGCAGGGGGTTGGACTTGATGTCCTCCAAGGTCCCTTCCAACTTTATTATTATTATTATTATTATTATTATTATTATTGTTGTTGTTGTTGTTGTTGTTGTTGTTGTTGTATTACAAATACAAATTTTAAAGAAAACTACCCAATATTTATTTATTTTTTGGGAATAAAACGGAATGATATGATAATATGATTCTGTTGTAGCCTGTGGTTCTTAAAACTTCAATAGAAAGAAAGGTATATTCAGAAAGTACACAGCAATACAATACATACACAGCTGGGTAAAATAGTTTATATAATACAAAATTGCACTAAAAGAAAGTGTACCCCTTTCCCTACAGTTGACAGGCCAATTTGCTGCCTTCCAATAGGCAATCACTAATTGCTACTATATTTCTTCCTTGGGGAGTAAGAGGATTCCTTCCTTTCATGGATGGCATCTGGTCCTCCTTTGTGGTCTGTGAAGACTAGGACAGTTATTTTTCAAATTATGAACAAATGCTGTCTTTGGAAAAGCCCCTGAATTACAATCACATCTCTGATTTATTGCCTAGATGCTTATAAAATTATAGTGCGTGTCAAACTATAGTAACTCGATCCTGTCTGTCATTAATTCCCACTATATTTATTTTAACAGAAGATTATTGTTTTGATCACTGTTCTATGTAGCAGTTAAGTGAATGCCATGCAAGATAGCATTATTCAACAACTTCTGAATTCAGTGACTAATTAACAAATGAATAATTTAGAAATGAATTTAGCTTTAGGTTTTATAATTTCTAGAATTTTTTTCTTTGAAGAGCCCAAATTTTAATTTATTTACAGATATTAAATATTTGTTATGCTGAAGAAAAAGTCAGGTGATAATGGAGATAAAACTGAAGAAAACCTACAAAGATAGCAACATTTTGATTTTGACTCCCCATCATGCCTAATCAGAATCCCAGTAGCCAAGAGATATTATGAATTGTGATCCAATATTTTTGGATAGCACCAGGTTATTCATCTCTGTCCTGAATTTAGTTCTGAATTTCTCAGAGAAAAATATAGGAAAAATATTATGTACTGTTAACAACAGCATATAACATCTAGGCAGCTTTCAGTGCCATCAAACATGATATCCTTCTGAATCTGCTCAGAGACTTAGGGATGGGTGGCACAGTGTTCTAGTTCACCTCCTTTTCACCTCATCCATTTGGTGATGATTGAGGAGAGATAGTGAAGATGCTTGCCTTGTCTCCCAATCAAAAAGTTGAGAGTTCAATCTTAGGTAGCTATTTTTCTCCTAGGGCATAAAGAAAAAATACCTGCTGCAAACTCTGCAATGATGTCTGAAAGGGCATCCGGCCAGTAAATGCTTTAAGGCAGTGGTTCTCAACCTTTTTAATGCCGCGACCCCCAACCGGTCGTAAGTCGAGGACCACTCAACCGGTCGTAAGTTGAGGACTACTCAACTGGTGCAGCACCGTTTGCAGAATGGGACTTTTGGCGGGCTCAGCAGGGCAGAGACAGCCTGGACAATTCCTATTGGCTTTTGAAAGCCAATAGAATTATACTCTATTCAAGAGAGTCTATTCTATTGGCTTTCAAAAGCCAACAGAATAAAAGGGAGTAGCACAGCTAAGGAAAAGGGGGAAAAAATGGCGGACTGCATTGTTTGGCAACCCCCGTGAAATGGTCGTTCAACCCCAAATGGGGTCCCGACTCACAGGTTGAGAACCACTGCTCTAAGGGATTACAGGATCATAAAAAGGGAGTTTTACATATATTTACTATTAAATAATACTCATAAAGTTCAATGTTGGACTGGAGCAATTTCACTGGCTCATTACCAAATAAAAGTTAGGGAAATTGAATAATGAGTAATATATTCATTGACAAAATACATAGGCACAGTTTGAAAGAGAGAAGATGATACCTAATGGCATTCTACTCATACAGATGCTGGAATGAACCAGAATGGAGAGAGATGATCTTTGTTGTATTGGGAAAATAACTGGAAAGAGGCCTATGCTAAAGCTGTGACATAAAGTCCTATGGCAGCCCTGGCTTTTCTAGATGAAAAGCAGAATTGGGTAATCTGTATAAATCTGTATAAATGTACAAATAAGGTTATAGCAAGAAATTATCTTTTTTTCCAAACAAACTGAATTTATGATAACTCGATAGTGGGAGGAATTATATAATTATATAATAAGAAAGTAAGAAACCAGGGAACAGTTTATTTGCCATTTTAAGATTGCTAAAAATTTTACTAAGATTATGTTTCTAATTTTAAAGGTTTTTCAGCATTCCCTTCTCAATTTCAGAAGACGTGTGTGTGCACATATGTTTAAAATATAACACTATCAAAATAATGTTCATATTCTAACATTTATTTCAACAGTCATAAAAACTGTAGTCATAAAAATTGGAAGTCTTTTCAGACTAATGTCATTTCTCCTTTTCTCAGCTCTTAACATTTCTCAATATATTCATAGCAAATAAAAGGAAAAAGAATGAATACTTCTGTTAGCAGTAGTCTAGGCATGAAAATGAATATGCTTTTCTACAGTGTGAGAGAATCTTGTTCAAGTATAGCCAATGTTTTCATTAACATGTGTTTTAAAAGGAAATCTGATAACTTAAATTATATTCTAGCTTTATTATTTTTCCCTGTAATTAAAATTCAATGTAAAATAAAAAATTGAGAATTCAGCTATTATACTTGTGCTCCTTTGTTATGGAGGATTGTTTTTCTTTCTGTCTGTCTGTCTATCATCACTAGAAATTGAAAGTATCTTGAACATGGCTAGAACAATAGCTAGATTTATTAGGTTATATAAAACTACATTTTCTCTAACATGTCTTTCAAAAAGAACAACCCACTTGCAGTTTGCATCTGACCACCATATTAGATCTGTAAGTCGACCCTGCACTATCAAACAGATGCAGAGAGACCAATCTTACAGTAACACTGTATTGCCAAAGAGGTTCATTATCTATTTTGCCAATATGCAAAAGATCATGTTCTCTAGATTACCCATTACTTATAACAGTATTTCTCAATATTTATTATTTTCCTTTCCCACATGTTACTCAACAGTAGAGCCTGTACCCCGACCATAAACAAACATATAGATACATACACAGAGAATTTTCCCAAGGACCTTTTTATAAACATAGACATTAAAATATGCTATATATCATACAGCACACATTTTTTACTTTACTTATCATCCTTTAGCACAGTGGTGGCGAACCTATGGCACGCGTGCCAGAGGCGGCATGTGGAGCCCTCTCTGTGGGCACGCACCATCATCCCAGCACACATGGTCTCTAAAAGTTTGCTATCACTGGCCTAAGGCCAGCCAGCCTGGAGCCGCCATTGTGGAGCCACCATCCCACCCGCCAGAGACCCCCTGGATCTCCCCCAACCCTGCCCTGCCCGGCTCCCACAGGTGTCCCTCCCCATAAGCAACATCATGGTGGCCACGCCCACCCCAGCCATGCCCACCCAGTCTGCCACGCCTACCTGGCACCTGGCGATACATAAGTGGGTTTTGGGTTGCAGTTTGGGCA